CCCCTCCGTCTCCACGCGGTCACAAACCCTCCTCGCAATTGAAACAGACTCAGTACAATGATAAAAATGAACGGCTACAAATTTTACCAGCCAAAGGAAAGGAGAGATGAACAACTACTGAAGCTATGCGACTGTTATTGTTTGAAGTCTTTTTTTTTTTGAAGTTTTGTTGGGTCTCCGGAATTTGTCCCCCGGATTCTTATCGCTTTCTGTTCTCTTCTCTTTGCAGATTCGTCCGAGTCCGGGTCGCATAAGACGTCGGTGCGCGAGTCGTCGTCGGGGAGGGGGTCCGGGAAGGCGCCCGGCGACGGCAAGCCGACCCGCGTGCGCACCGTGCTCAACGAGAAGCAGCTGCACACGCTTCGGACCTGCTACGGGGCCAACCCCCGGCCCGACGCGCTCATGAAGGAGCAGCTGGTCGAGATGACGCAGCTGTCGCCCAGGGTCATCCGGGTCTGGTTCCAGAACAAGCGCTGCAAGGACAAGAAGCGCGCCATCGCGCTCAAACAGCAACAGCAGCAAGAGAAGGTAATGCCACCATTTTTTCGAAGTACTTTTAATTTTAACTTGTTTTAAAAGAATGTTACCATGAAAGAGGTTGCAAGATGAACGCATGTTTTGTCGTAGAAGTGAGTGACCAACAAAGTGCGCTGAAATTTTACTTTTTTTAAAAGAAAAAAGTTCTACTCCTCTTAGAAGTTATAATAGTTGGAGTAATTTAGAGGGGGGTCGTATAGAGCGCGTGGTAAGCTGGTAGAGGATCGAGAATGAGGGAAGAGAGGGGAGGGTGGTAGGGGGAGTGGGTCCAGCCCCAGCCCCGCTATTTGCGAAGGCGCCCACACCGCAGTATTAACCGTGCATCCAACCAAACACCGTAACCATCTAGTCCTTCTCCATGCCGTAACTCTATATTCCACCGTGGCGAGGGGGGAGGGGGGAGAGTCGAGAGGGGGGGTGTTGACGCCGGGAGGAACCGCGTCTGCCGCGTCGGGACCCTCAACTCGGAAAAATAAGTTCGCCAAAACTTACTCGTAATAAGTCGTATTCCTATGACTCACTGTCCCCTGTTCGTCCATTTTGTCCGATATTTTTAATTTATTTTTTCCTTTGGCGGTCGGCAGTCATTTTCTCAGGAGATAAGCACCGGGCGCGGACGCGTGTAAGATGGACGCCGAAAACTGTTCCGCGATTCTTATCAAACCGAGGCGCTTCCGCCGACCCGACAGTTTTCGGACCGTCATGGTCTTAATTATTTCTTTTGTTTCATTCTTTATTTTACTTTATTTCGTTAGTCACCGAATTACGTCCCCCAATCTTATCACTCACGTTTCGGCGCACAGTATTTCATTTTCCGAGGCTGCGATCACCAAAGTGTTTACTAACTAATTACCAGCCCCGTTTGTGTACACCACCACAGTCAGGAAAGTGGGTTCGTTTCATTGTTAATATTCTTATTGATATTATTATTATCGTTTGGTGCGCAATGTATTCAGGAACACGTCGCTTACAACTCAATTTCTGCTGCGCGCTAGAGAAGGAGAGAGAAGGGGAGGGGAGGGGGGCCTTCTCCCTACGGGAATACACACACAGCCGCGCACACTCGCACACACAGAAGTCTGTTTACTCCAGCATTCTCGTTACCCCAAAACTCCTCCTCTCGTCGCGTTTTGGGCAAAGCGGCCCCTTCGTGGCGGGGCGCGCTGCTGCTGCTGCTGTTTGCTTACGTGCGAGTGACACTGCCCGACACGCGGCCCCTTGGTCCATTGCGTTGTCACCCTCAGCACTACGCTCGTCGTCTCTCCTTGTCCTTAGAAGGGAGACAAAAAAAAAACAGTATGTAGGAAAGCAGAAGAAAACTGAGCACCGCTGGGCGCGAATACCATACAAGAGATCGTTCAAGTTTTCGCGCCGCACCCTCTCTTGGCGGTCCTCTGTGTCCGGGCAGCGACTGGCCGGAAGTATAGGGGTTGGGTAGTACTACACCGCCACGCTCCGCCACGCCGGCGCGTACAAGTCTGTGTCCCATCTCAAAGTCATGGGAGAGTCGCCACCGACAAAGAGGATGCAGGTGATCGTGCGGGGCGGGGAGACCCGCATCAAGTGTAGACACGGCGGCAATCTGGAGGCGAGACTGTCGCTCACTTGCGGGGCCGTTGCTTGGATGCGAGTTTTAACCTCACAGGAAAAAAAGGCATGTCTCTCCTTTTCCCCCTTTTTATTACAACCCAACACACCTTTAAGCTTTGATCATTTAAACTGTATGTTTTCAATATTGACCCCATTTTGTTCTAGTTCTTCCTCCCCTGACACTGCCGTCGGGCGCTGAAGTGTCTCTCTACCGGGCGCCGCCGCCGTTGTCTTTTGTCTTCTTCGGAAAGCTTTGCTACTCTCAGAGGTGTTGCACTTCCGAGTAGAGAACTTTTCCATCCGTGTCGTGTCCCGCCCGTCCGGCCCGGCCCCGAGCCGCTCACCCAGGTTTGCACCTGTCTGACACGCATTCTTGACCACCAATGCGGGCTGCGCGCGAGTCTCTCACCGGAGGTCCACGGCAATGAGTGTGACTTCTTCCCTCACCCTTTTTATCTCTCTCGCTCTCTCTCGCTCTCTCTCGCTCTCTCTCTCTCTCACTCCCTCCTCTGGCCTGGCGGTGATCCCCTTATTGCTGTTGACTTGACGAACAAGTTCAGGGCACGCATCACATCACACGTTACTCCACCTTTCCTCATTGCCTTTCAAAATCGATCCGCGAAAGCTTGCGAGCTGCATCCGCTTTCGGCCAAACCACCGCCAATCTCATATTTCTGCGCAAAATTTCTAGGCGCAAGATCCTTTCCTGCGAAAGTTGTCGGCGTTTCTCATGTCGCACTCCAAACGCGTCCGATTCGGACGCGGACCCCTCATATCCTGTCCGTCAGGTTCGCAGACTGCTGCTACCGGTGTTGCGTGTTGGCAGGCCTGGGCCTTCACACCTCATTGCGATTTCGAACCTGAACCTGAACCTGGCTGCGACCCGTTCATCCTGCTCCGGGAAATGCCACCATGTGCGAGCGCAAGGATTATTACTTTAAAAAAAGAAATACTATTATCCTGATTATTTCTATCTCGGCCCATCTGACCTTTTAAATCTGCATGTCAAAAATATGTAAGATATTTAAACAAATTTTTGATTGCTGTGCAATAATTTATTTGTATATCGATTTTATTTTGCGCGGTATAGTACTTGAAGCGCAGGCTTCACCGGGATGTGTCTTCTCCCGTCACTTCAGTGCCTCGCTCGTCCGTATAAACATGTCTGCCTGTCTTCGACCAGAGGATTAAAAACGACTCGATATATATTTTTAAAAAAAGTTAGCTCTGCCGCTCTGTCTTTTTCTTTTCCTCCGTGGGGTATTACGCTTCAGTATATTTTTCTAAATATTGGTGTAAACATTGATTTCAGCAGAAATTTGGGATGGTGGCAGCGTTCTTAAATGTGTGCCAGGGACGTGACTTACCGCAAATTTTAAATTCCCCTAAATTATACCTAATTACGGTATTTTTTACAAAAACGGGTGCAAATTCACATTATTAGTTCGGGAAAACGCGTAAACCGGGGCTGAGGTAAAAGGGGTAAAAGGAATTCTTTGCTGCAGCGCTGACAGTGTAGAAATAACTCAAACACGTTCCAACGTGGACCGACTTCTGTATCACGCGTACGCCCCGGATCGCACAAGGCATTCTCTCCCTCTCTCACTCTGCTTCTCGCTCCCTCCTGTTCGGTTCTCCGCGCGCTGCCCGCGTCATGTCATTTACCCCGAAGTCTTGGAGACGACGTTATCGAGACATCGGCGCGCCCCTGCCTGGTCGCGGGGCGGGGCGGTGCGTGGCGGGCCGGGCAGGGCAGGGCCACTGAGACTGACTGGCCGTGGTGGCATTGCCTAGCTACTGGGCTGGGCGCGCTCGCTGTCAGGCCGGCGGCGCACCCCTGTCAGTCTCTCTCTGTCAATCCCTCAGGAGGAAAGGAGGACGTGATGCAGAGAGAGAGAGAGAGAGAGAGAGAGAGAGAGAGAGAGAGAGAGAGAGAGAGAGAGAATTGATGATTTATGAGATGTCTCAGTCAGTATTTCGCTTAAAGGCAAATGACTCGTTTACTTTGGTTTTGATTTGAAGCATCGGCAAATTGGAAATTCTCTGGTCCTAAGCAGTACGTCGATTGCTCCCAGAGGACAGTCTTTCGAGTGCCGCCGGTCCGTTTCAAGTATTTTCAATGGGATGTTGTCGTGGCTAATGATGTAATAATTTGCCTCCATGTGTCGGTTCGGCCGCCGGCCGCCCACTGCAGGAGGCGACCTAAGGTGAGGCGAGGTGTCTTCCGGATTCCCTGATCGCCGCCTGAGATACGGAGACAGTCACTTCATCAATATTCCCCTCCTCGTCTCCTACCTGCCAATGTACTCTGTCGGGAGAAAAGGAGATGTGCATGGAGATATTTCATGTACAGTCCGTTTGTTTTCTTTGCTCATACACGATGCGTCATGTGGTATTCGCGTCATTTCTTTTTTTTTGTTTTGTTACCTCATGTGTCCAACACAAATGGGTTGCTGCGAGCTGCATCATTGCCAACATAGTACTTCTTTCCTATCAATAGAGAAGATGTTAATAATCCCTTTTAGTTCAAGTATAGTTAAAGGTTATAAAGTTATAACATTTCTGACATTCAATCGCCCCTTTATATACCTGTTACCCTCGTCCACGTCCCGTCTATTTTTCTTGTATTTCTCCGGTCATTAGTCGCACCTGTGTCAACGACACGCGCCCCCTTTTTTATAACCTTTCTCTATTCCTCCCTCCCTTCCAGTATTTTATTTCTGTTTTGCCCTAACGACGCTTCTCCCAGGCCGTCCTCATCAATTTGTCCCCATATTTTGACGCAGGGCTCGGCGCCCGGCCGCTGAGGCCATCCCTGCCACACGCAGGAGGCGGCGTTCGAGATATCGATCCGTGTCATTTGGGTATCAGTGCCTTAACGAGACTGTCCGCGAGGACTTTTGGCTTCCGCACCCAACGACCATTCCTCCCCTCTACCTGTCTGTCCAATCAGGCTCGTTAGTCGTTTACAGCCGTCATCGGCCCTGCATGCGCAATTGGCTCCAAATTAGGAAGCGAGGGCAGATAGCGCTCCTAGACGATCGCATCGACAACAGTAATCTTTTCAATCTTCGCGCTCCCTTTTGTGTCAATTTAACAGAACGTATCCTAAAGTATGTTTGAAATGATCGGGGGAGAGCAATTTTCTGCAGAAGGCAAGCCCCTGCAAACAAGCAGATAATGCATATTTAAAAATTGGTACTTTTGTGGGAACTTTATTTACTTGTCGGTGGTACAAATTGGCACTCATTATTATGACAAAACTTGCTCTTGTTCTTGTTGCTGTGTGAATGTCGTGCACACGTGCACTGAGTGGTGACTAACTGGCGCAGTGCTGGGTGCTGCAGGACGGCCGCAAGCTGGGCTACGGCTCCATGCAGGGCATCCCCATGGTGGCCAGCTCCCCCGTGCGGCACGAGTCCCCGCTCGGCATGAACCCCATCGAGGTGCAGTCGTACCAGCCGCCCTGGAAGGCGCTCTCCGACTTCGCACTGCACACGGACCTGGAGCGGCTGGACCCCACCACGCCGCCCTTCCAGCACCTCGTCAACCAGGTGAGCATCTTTACTCTACCCTAAAAACCTTGGGTTAGTCTACACATCGGGAGGGTTCCTTATGTAAAAACTAACGTGACATGTGTAATATTTCCAAGTGTCCCACGTGTGACGTGACCATATTTTTGGTCACATTTTGGAG